GGTTAGCTGAATCATTCAAGTCATTCTAATAAAAAAATTCATAAAGCAAGCTTGTTCTTGAAGAGTCCCGATAATTCCTAAATTTCTATTTTTTCTAGACGTCAGTCTGAGAAGTTTAGTGAGCAATGAAAGATGCATTTTCCATGATTAGGCATTAATTTGGTAGTTGGGCGCCAACTGTGCAATTCGCCTGTTATGTCAACTATTCCATTATAGTTGCAAAATGGAAGTCATCTAGTGTGTAACGTCCGATACTTTAAAATTTTAGTGACAAAAACTGGACATCTGAAACTATAGTGAACAATCGAAGACACAAATTTAAGTTTAGTGATTATTGGGACAATTAACTATGATATTTCGTTACTTTTATTTTTCGATTCTTTTCTTCTCTATTAAGCTAAAGGCTTGAGAGGACGCAAGTCATAATTCCATTATGATTATTATTTTTTCTTTCTATGGATTTTTTCTAGGGAAAAATTCACAATTAAGGCATAAGTGTGGGCAATTCAATTTTCATGTCTAAAGTTTTAAAAATGCGAAAATCAGGTTTTTATTTATTAATTAAATATATTTTATTAACTAAAAATAATAAGGTCACATTTATACCATTAATGATTACATGCAAATAATTATAGGCCATAAACTTATTTATTATTCACGTATTATCAATTAATTGATCACGGATTATTTCGATGTTACAAATTATAAATTTTATAGGTCACAATTTATTTCATTAGTCACAGATGAAAAAATTATAGATCATAATTTATCTATCAGTCACATGTTTTCCAATTTTTTGGTCACAATTATCAAATTTCAATGTCAAGGTTAGATAGTTAGTCATATATCAGATAGTGGGTCACATACCACCACCACCTCCACTGCCACCATCGCTACTTACCACTGCCCTCACCCCGTCATCGTTGCTACCACCACCACCTCTACCACCAACGCCATCACCACCACCACCACCACCACCAACACCAACACTAACACCACGACATTACCACCAAATCCAATTAACTACTAACAAAAACCACAACAATCAACTCTCCAGCCACCAGCAACCACCTCCACCACTACCAGAAACCACCACTACTGCTTCCACCAAACATACCAACAATACACAACCCACAACGTTACCACCGTCTCTATCGCTACACGACCACCTATTCTTGTAACCACAACCACCAGTTCAATCAACCACCGTACCACCTACACCTCCGATCAACCTCTTCTTCTGATCATAACCACCAATTTTACCAAATAATCCCCAAATTGCTACCGTCTCCACCACTACACGATATTTTTGCCCATATCTATGATTCATCACAATCTCCTCAAATCGGAAAGAGAAAGAAAAAAAATCCCAAATCCCCTCCAACATTGACACCAGTCGGCACCAAGAACTGCAGCATCGTGAAGCTGTGTTTGCAGCAATGTCGTCATGCTACATTAAGGGGCTGCAAAAATAAGTCGTCATCAGTGTTGAATTTTAAAGAAGACAAAATCTTCATACAATAAAAATAAAGAGAGAGAGCAGAGAATGTAATTGCTTCTTGGTATCTTTATTCATCAATCCAATGACCTTTATATAGGCATTAACACGACAGATACAAGCAAGAAAAGGGGAACTCACTAACAAATTCTGTAGACTCAGTAATTAGCAAAACAAACTAGCTAATGATGCTAAAGATTAGGTCAACATGTAAATTACTTATTCAACAATCCCTCCCTTAAACTCATGTTTAAAACATCATTTATTTCTTCAGCGTGCAAACTCAAAGCAACTTCCTCAGCTTTTGAAATACATCCAATTTAATGGCTTCTATAAACAAATCGACAACTTGATTCTCTCCTTTGCAGTAAATAAGATCAATGGTTTCATCTTTTGTAAGGTCTCGCAAGAAATGATACCTTACATCAATATTTTGCTTCTTCCATGTAAAACGGGATTCTTGGATAACTTAATAGCTGAATTGTTATCACAGTAGTTATGGGTGGGTCCTTTTTGCTTGAAACAAAGAAACTCAAGAATCCTCTGTAGCCAAATTGCTTGACATATACATGCCGTTGCTGCCACAAACTCTGCTTCTGTAGTTGACAACGTCACAATGGCTTGCTTCCTTGAAGACCATGAGACTGCTCCTGTCCCCATCATAAAGACATAAACAGATGTGCTTTTTCTATCCTCTGGATCACCAGCACAGTCACTATCTGTAAAACCAAATGTATATGATTTTTCAACACTTTTGTACAACAAACCATAATCAGCAGTGCCTTGTAAGTATCTGAAAATTATTTTTGAAGTTAAGAAATGCATCTCCTTTGGACACTCCATAAATCTGTTGATGAGACTAACAACTTACATTATATCAGGCCTTGTTGTAGTTAAATACATCAAGCTTCCTACGATTTGCTTGTAAAGAGTATTGTCAACATCTTTTCCTTTGGGATCTTTGATGAGCTTCACATTTACTTCTGTTGGTGTGCTAACAGGATTACATTCATTCATTCCAAACTTGTCAAGAATTTCCAGCACATACTTTTTCTGAGAGATAAAAATGCCAGCAGTAGATTGAACCACCTCTATGCCAAGAACGTAATGCATCATGCCAAGATCAGACATATCAAATTCAATCATCATTGACTTCTTAAATTTCTTAATCATGACTTGATCATTTCCAATGTAGATTAAGTCATCTACATATAAGCAAACCATGAGCATCTTGCCATTATCCTCCAATTTCATGAAAAGTGTATGTTCATAAGGACATTTTTTAAATCCTTCCTTCAAAAAATAAGCTTCGATAAGACTGTACCAAGCTCGTGGGGCTTGTTTTAGCCTATATAAAGCCCTTTTCAGCTTAAGCACTTTATATTCTTCTCCAATCTTAACATATCCAGGAGGTTGATTAACAAATACCTGCTCTTCTAAGTCTCCATGTAAGAATGTTGATTTAACATCTAGTTGAAAAATAGGCCAACAATTTTGTGCTGCAAATGCAATCACCAATCTGATTGTGTCATGCCTTGCAACTGGAGCAAAAGCTTCTTTGTAGTCTATGCCGAATTTTTGTTTGTAGCCTTTGGCAACGAAGAGCGCCTTGTATTTATCAACTTCACCATTTTCCTTCAGTTTTGTCTTGTAGACCCATTTTACACCAATAATCTTCTGTCCTTGAGGAAGTTCAGTCAATGTCCAAGCATTATTTTTTTCAATGGCTGCAATTTCACCATCCATTGCCTTTCTCCATTTTGATTGTTTGACAGCTTCTTCAAAAATTATAGGATCACAATTTGAAAATAGAACAAGGTGTATGAGTGAGTTCTTGGAATGGTCAATCCCTGTTAACTTATAGTTAGCCATCCAAGTGGGTTTCCTTCAGACCCATTCTGATCTTTGTGCTGCTATGGACTCTTCTTGGATAACTGTGGGTTGTGGTTCTTGCTCCACAATCTGTTGCCCTTCTTCATCTTCTCCATCAAAGTTTGCAGGGAGTTGTGTTGTTATTCTATCTTCGTTCCATGGCCACATTCTTTCTTCATTAAAGTCTACATCTCGACTAATGACAATCCTTTTAGTGATAGGATTATATAACTTGTAAGCTTTAGAATGATCACTAATACCAAGAAAGACACATTTTTCTCCTTTGTCATACAACTTCTTCCTGTTCTCATTGGGTATATGAGCATAAGCTATGCACCCAAAAACTTTGAAGTGATCCACAGCGGGTCTTCATCCATTCCAAGCTTTCTCTGGTGTCATATTTTTAACAGCAAGTGTAGGACTTCTGTTCAATAAATGAACACTCCAATTAACAGCATCAGGCCAGAAACTTTTTGGAACACCACTCCTTAGCAAGATGCTTCGCACCATATTTAAAATTTTGCAATTCTTCCTTTCACAAACACCATTTTGCCGAGGAGTGTAAGATGCTGTAAGTTGCCTTTTAATTCCATTAGTCTCACAAAATTTTGCAAATTCCTGTGAGTTGTACTCTCCACCGCGATCAATATGAAGTATTTGTATTTGCCTACCCACCTCCTTTTCAACATGGACTTTAAAATGTTTAAAAGCTGCAAAAGCTTCAGATTTTTCCTGCAAAAGATACACCCATGTTTTTCGACTAAAGTCGTCAATGAAGGTGATTATGTATCTTTTACCTCCATTAGAACATGGTGTTATTGGCCCACAAGGATCGGAATGAATTATGTCCAATGCCTTCTTTGCTCTACATGATTTGACTTTTGGGAATGGTTTCCGTTGTTGTTTGCTAGCAACACATTCTTCACAAACTTTCGAGGGAGTTGTAATTTGAGTAAGGCCTGTCACCATATGCTTTTGTTGAAGTATTCTCAACCCACCAAAATTTAGATGACCAAATCGAAAATGCCAAAGCCAAGCCACATCTTGTAATTTTGCTGTGAAGCATGATTGATGAGTGTTATTGAGATAAATAGGAAACATTCTGTTTGCATTCATTGTGGCTTGAGCAATTAAACCCAAATTATCATCTCAAACTTTGCATACTCCATCTTTGATAGAAATCTCATAACCCTTTTCTTCTAATTGACAGATATCGAGGAGATTGGTTTTCAAATCTAGAATAAAAAGGACATTGGAAATTTTTTTGGTAGCATTTTCGTTGGTTTGAATAATTACTTGTCCTTTTCCCATAACCAATACTTTAGAGTTGTCTCCAAACTTCACATTATCTCGGATTGATTCATCTAGAGTGGAGAAAATTGACTTGTCTCCACTTATGTGATTGCTGCATCCTGTGTCTAGATACCACAAACACTTAATGTTGGTTTTTTCCTTTGCATGACTAACCATCAATAAGCATACTTCCTCTTCTTCCTTCACTATATCTTCCTTTATTGCATAATAATTAGATCTCTCACCATGACCTTTGGGCAAATTAGTTTGGCATTCTTACTTATAATGACCATACTTATGACATCTGTAGCACTCAACGACAAACTTGTCTGCTAACTCAAGTCTGAAAGTATTTGAGTGGAAGCCATCTCTCCTCTCCCTCTTCCTCTTCCATGATTGTTGTAATCTCTGCCTCTACCTCAACCTCTACTGTTTCTGCCTCTTCCTTGGTGTCCTCTGCTAGATGTCAAGTAATTTTATGTTGAGGCCTTCAATGCATGCTCCTCTTTCTCGTGCTGGGTAATTGTATGTTCATGAACTAACAAAGAACTTTGTAATTCATCAATTGAAAGTACATCAATATCATTAGATTCTTCTAGAGAACAAACAACAAAATTAAATTTTGGTGTCAGGGATCGAAGAATCTTCTCAACAACAATGACATATTCCATTTTGTCGCTGTGGGTACGCATTTTATTGACAACTGCCATCATCCGCGAGAAATATTCTGTAACTGACTTTCCTGATTTCATTCGAAGCAATTCGAACTCCAAACGAAGTGCCTGAAGTTGTTGCCTCTTTGTCCTTGTTGATCTTTGATATTTCTTTTTCATGGAATCCCAAATATGCTTGGAGGTATCTTTGCAAAGAATGGTCTCCAAGATTGAACGATCAATGGCTTGAAAGTGATAATTCTTTGCTTTGAGATCTTTCAACTTTCGTCCTTCAAGCTCTGTCTTTTGAACATCAGTCACCACAGAACCTTCTGCTAGTTCTACTATTCCGTTGACAACAACCGTCCAGTATTCTTTGGACATCAAGAAGTTCTCCATGAGCATGCTCCAATGGTCATAGTCACCATCAAAGCGTGGTATAGCTGGTTGCACAAAGCTGTCAGAAGCCATTGTTTACTTCTGCTACAAACGGTTCAGATTAAATGTTGGGAGGAAGGATTTATGATCAAAAGTAAAATCTGCAGGCCCTTTATAGTATGTGGAAAGACTTGCTTCTGTAAGGTTTAAATCTTGCTGGATTAGGTTACTACTCCTGCAATTTATGAGAAAGAGGCGGTCAGATTTTATTTTATTTTTTGTAGAAGGTTTTTAAGATAACCTGCTCTAATACCACTGTTGAATTTTAAAGAAGACAAAATCTTCATACAGTAAAACTAAAGAGAGCAGAGAACGTAATTGCTTCTTGGTATCTTTATTCCTCAATCCAATGGTCTTTATATAGGCATTAACACAACAGATACAAGCAAGAAAAGAGGAACTGACTAACAAATCCTATAGACTCAGTAATTAGCAAAACAAACTAGCTAATGATGCTAAAGATTAGGTCAACGTGTAAATTACTTATTCAACAATTAGAGCGAGTGAACGCTGTCGACAGAGAGATCGAAGAATGATGGAGCCACCGAGTGATATTGCTTCAGAGTAGAAGAGAGAGAAAATACACAGAATAGTCACCGATGAGGATGCTTCAAAGCTTCGCCGCCATCGTGAATCGTCGCCGCCAATGGTAAGATGGTGTTTTATGGTAGAGAGAATGGAGAAAATATAGATGGTAGAGAGAGAAAGGAATTAGGGTTGAAATTGAATTTAGTTGTTGAAATATTTAATATTTAAATTATTAAATCAATAGTTGATTTCTGAATAATGAAACTACGACCCTGATTTTTGAATTGTGATATTTAAACCCCTAGTATTGTGTAATTTCGATTTTTTTCTACTTTGTTTGAGAAAGACAACATTTTACTTCTCTTCGACTGTAAGAAATTTCATATTGATTGAACATGATCCCGCTGTTTCAAATGTAAATGCAAAAAATAGAAGTCGGATATTATAAATCTATCTACACGGATATTTACTAAATGCAACTATTATATACTTAAAATTCTATATCCACTTTATTTTTGTGCGTTTATCTAAATGAAAAGATCAAATGTCTAATCTTTTCATTTTTCTCAAATTGGAATATATTTCTAATAATGGTAGAATTACAATCATTTTGGTTTTTCTATTCCTCATTTGATTTAGATAAAAATCATATTTTTAGTAAATTTTGATGAAAGTTGATTTCATGTGTATCTAGTATATAAAAAGTTGTGGATCCTATAAAATGTATAATTAAAATTAATTATTGTCTTTGACTAAAATTCTAATCATTTTTTTGTTGAGCCAAACATGAGCTAAGTTTTAAACATAAGGGTCAAATATGTCTACATGATAACGAGGAAATTGCATTTTAAGCAACGATCTTGTGAATATAATCAATTTTTTTTATTATTTTTTTAATCTTGATCAATAAATTTTTGTTTGTCCATTAGGTAAAAATAAAATGACACGATAGAATTCTAGTTGGAAGTTGTCGACTTTTTATGACCTTTGATTCCTTATAGGGATGACAATTGGGCTCACTGGCTCGACTCGAAAAAAGTCCTAGCCGACCCAGCTCTACCAAGCCCCATTTCGGGGCACCAGACCACACTCGCCAGCTCGGGTTCACGAGCCTTTAAAAAAAACATGTTAAAGGTAGCATTTTGCTGCTTTTTTAAGGTATTCGGGTGTTGCCTTAAGGGGAAAGAAAAAAAAAAGCTAAGCTAAGCCAGCCCAGCTCAGCACAGGCTGAACTTAGATTTATTGGCCAGGGCAAAAGCTCAGGTCAAGCTTTCAAAAAAGCTTGAACCATTTTACTACAATCGAACCCGAGCCTCGGGTTTCGGCTCAACTTGTTGACACCACTTCCTCCTCTTCTAGAGCAAAATGGGATATAGTAGACACTAGAAAGTGGGTGGGGGTAGGAAGTGAAAGTACATTCAAGATGTAACCCAAAGGAGAATAGGAAGACTGATAATATTAATGGATCAGTCTATTGCACCACTTGGCTAGAGCTCATGATACAAAAGATCTTCCACATAAGCATGCGTGCATGTACACTAGAGTCGATAATTGATCCTTAACTCTACCAAGAATTGTAAGTACTCTAAAACTCACATGTCCAACAAACGTGCATCAATAAAAATTCCGTGTATACCCTCCAATTCTCAAGTCAATTGAATCGGAGTCTCTATATAATGAAAAGTAATGTTTTGTGTTAGATTAAATCTCTCTCTCTTATCCATGTGAAATCTCTCGGCGGGTCTCCAATGTTTTGTTCTATAATAAAACATCCACGTGTTTATTTAAGTGTCACCATACTTTAGCTTGTGGGATCAGCTACTTACTTCACAAGTAAGAAATGTCACACGTGATGGTCTATCCGTAATAACGATATCCGTATCTCGTTATTACTTACAACCACAGACGATTTAAGATTCAATCAGATGTAATTTGTATCTCACAATCACAACTCATTGTGATTAACAAATTATGAAGATTTGAATTTACGGACTCTATTATTTATTTAATTGTCTATTAATTAAATAATAGATCTGTCATCAAATTGAATTAATTATATATCAAAAGTATTTATGTTCAAAGTTGATTAGACTTAGGGCATAATACTTACAAACTCCCACTTGCACTAGATCCAATCACTTATATGTCTAATATCATAAGTTTACATGATGATCATGTTTATACTACGACGACTCTTTGTCAGTGGATATGCAATATTGTTAAATGTGGGAATTCGTTCTTCTCTTTACGTCATTCTATGTATTATCTCTTTGATGAGATTATATCACCTTAATACATGTTTGGATCATTGATAAGACCTTAGTTCCTTTGCTTTCGCAATGGCTCTATTGTTATCATAATACAATGGTATGTGATCAACAATATCAGGAACTACTCCAAGTTTATTTATGAACATCATGATCCAGATTGCAACTCTTTGCTACTTCTGAAGTAGTCATGTATTAGGTTTCTACTATTGAATCAACGGTTGCTTCACGTTTGGAACCTTTCCAACATACCGCTTAAGAGTAAACCAGTTTCTCCATATGAAATCTTCTCAAGATTTTATTTATGTAAATTGGAATGAGTTAAGCAATCTTCTAGATCTACCTCTATAGATCAAGTTGCTTATCTCATATCGTTCATGAATAAATCTTTTAACAATCATTATTTCAACGATTGAAACATAGGGATGTCGTTTTTTATAATATTAGGAATACGACAATGCTCCCACTATCTTCTTGTAAACACACAATTCGTCTTCAAATTTAATAAAATCAAACACTTTAACTTTTTCCATTAAATCGAAGATTTCAACTCCATAGAAACTTATCTTAACCTTTAGTTACGATATGCAACTATCGCAAATAAAACCCAAATGGACTTTAGCAAGGCCACATGAGAAAGGTTTCACCAAGGTCAACACTTAACCTTTGCTTCTAGCATTGCTTTGTATATATGGATATTCACATCCACATTGACCTTTCCCTTGTAAACTATTTACAAAATCTTATGGGTTTTATTCCATCAGGAGGCTCGACCAAAGTCCAAACTTTGTTCACATACGTCGAGTTTCATCTCGAGTTTCATGGCCTCTTGCTGTCTCTTTTAAGTCAACACTTGACTTTATTTTGTTGCAACTAGCAGGTTCATTATCCCGGATCACTAATACCTGATTAATAATCATGGATTCGCACCTTCTTGAAGGTCAAATGATCCTACTAGATTCATATAGAGCTGTCAACTAGATTCATATAGAGCTGTCATGTCCTCAGGAGTCTTTACTTCCTGATCAAGAGAATGTCCCATATCTGATATGGGATCAAGCTCGGATTTATCTACTTGGTTAACTATATTTGTGGACTCTTGAACTTTTCAAGTTCTATTTTGCTCCCACTGTCCTCCCCTAGAGTAAACATTTTCTCTAAGAAGACGATATGTCGTGACATGAAGACTTTTTTCATTATAATAGAATTTATATTCAAACGTCTGCTTTGAATATTCCCACAAATACGTATTTATCGGATTTAGTGTCAAACTTATCCGATTCAAGGCGCTTCAAATAAGCGTCATGACCCCAAACTTTCATATAAGATAAATTGGGACTATTTCCTTTCCATAACTCGTATGGAGTTCTATTAACCAATTTAGATGGGACATGATTTCTTGTGTTGCACACTGCAATTAATGCATGACTCCAAAACAATTTTAGGAGATTTGCATGGCTTGTTATTAATCGCATTATATCTAATAATTAGCAATTCCTCCTTTTATATACACCACCTTGCTGCAGTGTATAAGAAGGAGTCCACTCAAGAGAATTTCATTCTCTCTTAAATAATCTAAATTTTATTTTTAAGATACTCTCACTTGATTGAATCTTAATGTAAGGGTATCTTTACCTATTTGTTTCTCTACTTCTAGTTTGAATCCCTTGAACTTTTCAAGAATTTCATGTTTGAGTTTTCATCAAGTATACATGATCATTGATGAAATAAGAGAAATATTACCTGACATTAATTGACACGAGTCCATATGCATCATTATGCATTATACTAGTAATTATACTGACCTTTCTTCTTTTCAAGTAAAAGAAGATTTGGTCATTGTGCCAGACATGCATAATTTGTACTTGTCAAAATCAATTAGCCCCAAGTATACATCTCTATGTAACTTTGGAATTACTTTACATCTATATGACAAAGTTTGTCATGCCAGATTTCGGTAATAATTAGATTATCGCATTTATGTCTTATAATTTCTATACTCATTATAGAATCCTTAGTATTATAGAATATAAACGTCGTTTTGTAATTTACAATAGCCATTAAGATCTTTATCAATATAAACAAGAACAACAATTGTCCTTAGCATTAAAATAGTTCATATCCGAACATGAAATTCATTTAAATGTTCCAGCTATGGTGGGTATAAAGTGACATTTCTCTAATTTCAATACTAAACCAAAAGGCAATGGCAAGAAGTATATGCATACAGGCAATGCA